CTAGAATTGTTTCGTCTTTTATCGCTGCATTTTCCGCCATCTCGTAAATTTCCAAAACTGTACATCTTAGTACTTCTGGTGTCTCTGTTTATAGTACAAAATCGTATCACTTTGGAGGATGACCAATCAGATGCTATTTGCATATGCAACTAGCATCTGATTGGTCAGGTGGACAAGTGATCCTACAGTTTACAGGACAACTTTTCTCCTCTTTAGATCATTTTCATTTACACTTTTTCGACTACAGAACACATTTTTTTCTGGCGGTAAAGAAGTGCTAAACCATAATGCACATGCGCAGCTAGTAGCCGCACTCCCTAAATCAATTAAGAGAATAATTATTATTGAATATTGAAAGGAATATTAAGCATTTCACTGTAGTATACACAAATAATAATATTTAGTCCTCTGCTTGTCCCATGTGCTTGTGGAATGTTTCTCCTTTTGATACATGGTCATACTATAGGAAAGAAAATATAATCATGTAATTTACAATACAGCAAATATACCTGTTAGTGATATTGGATCAGTAATAAGAACCATAGTAAGATCCGCCCTAACATCAACTTTCCTTGTACTTTTGATATTGTCTACAAAGCACTAGGTACTTCCAGTTTGATCACGAGTACCTTCTAGTACCAGTGACAAAACATTTAATGTCTGTGCCAGATTTGTTTAAAAACAACCAGCATAGTCTTGATATTATTTTCGGGACATGTCCAACTATGGTACCAGACTTGCATACAGCCACAGCATAGCAGGCATGAGGATTGTTCACTTGTTGGCTACACACCAGCTCCTCACCTATACAAGGCTCCCATGTCTTTGTAAACGTGAAGACCATGAATACAGCTACATACTTCAACCATGGTACTGTAATTGTTCATTATGACAGCTGAGATAACTTCCCTCCTAATGTAAACACGTGGTCAATTATCATAGCAACAATCAATTGGTTTCCATGGTATTTAATTGAATATTTTTATTAGTTTTTATGACAGCGAATAATTGCAGCCGCGAATATATCCTGACATACTGCATTGCTCAAGTGTTGAGAAATAGGCTCCTTCCTTCAAAGCTTCCACAGTATTAAATACGACTATGGCTGTCGAAGCATTACGTAGGAAGCATAAAGTTTGTTACATGGAGAAGAACAACCAACATATTGATCAGCTACTACCCATTTTACATAAAGTGGCGGAGACGAAGTTTTTGAATGGATTTTTAAGGCTCAAAATGGTAAAACTACTCATCATCTAAGCGAAAGTAATAAAAGGCACTGAGTAGCTGTTGAGACAATGAAGTCAAGAGACATTGTTCCAGCTGGTGATGCATCATGGAAAGTTAATTCATTGAATTCTCAAAAGCCATGTTACATTATGACAATACTTACTGAGGGTCACGATTGCTCTAGTGGTATTCGTTGTAAGTCTTGTGATGCATGTATACATTCCTTTACATGTACATGCATGGATTACATTGTGCATTCTACAATATGTAAGCACACCACCACATCAATATTTTATATTTCTCCTCAGTCATTAACACAGAGAAGAGTAGACTGGAAAGAGGTAATAGCAAGGAAAGCAGGGTTATCCTCTGATGTGCTACATAAGCCAGATGTAGTTAGGCGGGGCCTGACCCTCGCAGAGAGGAGGGTCAAGACCACTACGTATACAGGATTCGTTCTGAGCCGATGTATGGCTTTGGGCGTAGCTGGCTGAATTGCAAGGTAGTTACGCATGGCTGAAATAAATTAATCAGGCATGGCTGCGAGTGTTGTTTGTTTCGGTTGTGGAAAAGGCATTGTACAAGCCAGCAATCGATACAGAATGATTGGTCCAATGTGTGTTAATGCCTTACCTGTTTGGAAAAGATTGATCTCTGAAAAACTTATTAGTATGGATGTTGAAGTTGATATTAACAAATTGATATATGATGAAGAAAATGGCTTTTGTGGAAGAATGTGTCGTTCTTGCACATCAGCCCTAGAACGCATAGGAAGACTTGAAGCAGGTACAAAGAAAAATATAGATGATGCAGTTGAGGAGATAATGAATGGAGATTGTTGGTCCGAGGCACTGTCAAGTGATATGGATGCAGTTGATGCAGCTAGTCCACCTGACAATGTGGAAGCTGGTAACAATAATCATGTCATTAATGTACCAAGCCTTCCAAGAACAAATGATGATGAGGATATTGCGGTAAAATTTATTTTGTATAAAACTTTATATCCATTTGTATATATAGGTTGTTGTGAGTAATGCAAAAAGGCAGAAGTTGTACATGTTAACACCAAATGGTAAACGTGCTAAAAAGGCCCTTGCCCGTCGAAGTAGTATGACGCTAGCCAATGAGTGCCTTGCACATGTAAAAACTCGAGAGTATACAATATCTGGTATTGGAAGATTTGTTTGCACAGAAATAAAAAAAATGAGTACAATTCAGTCAATTTTATGTAGCCAATCTGATGAAGATTTGAAGAGTTTTTAATGTGATGACATCTACAGTGAATTGAAGCACAAAGCTCCTATTTTCCTTAGCATTTTGACATCAGCTACAAAAACAAGAACTACACGAATCAATCAAATTCCTATAATTTGCGTATGCGCTGCAATACTTTTAAAGTATCGATTCAAGCGCTTATGATTACATGAAAAAATTATATCACTTATTTTATATAGTGGCCATTGTTCAAAGAAGGTATATACTTTTAAAGTATCATATATATAATCACTACAATATTTGTTATTTTAGGCATACTCCAGGTTAAGCTCTATAGGCATTTCTCTAAGCCATTCAGCCACTAGCAAACTAGTTACAAAACTAGGACAAAATTATGATTTTCTTGTTAAAGAGTGGAAAGATGACATTCTCAAAGATTTGAATGGAACTGTAAGTTTTTGGTACTTCTTATTTTATCAGGATATATATTAGGAGGAACACCAAGACATTTCATCTCAACCTTATTGTTTAAGTAATGCCAGCTCCAGAGAGTCAGGTTCTGAATGTTCAAGTGTGATTTTGAGTGGCACAGATGCTGACAGTAGTTCAGAGGCTGATATGCCTTTTTCTCCTATTACTGATTCTGACCATAAAGAGACTTTTGAGGATGCAATAATTACAGTAAGTGCTGACTGTTTTGACCCAGTATGTGCCACTACTACAATATGTGACAATGATTCTCAAATGGACACAAGTAAGTGAATGTGCATAATTATATAAACTACATGGAAAATTGATATTTTGTAGGTTGCTCAGTCAAAAGTCTAACATTTAAACTAGTGGGTGACAACATTGATAAAAATGTCACCCCAAGGTATATGAGGTTGGACAACAAAGTAAAATCGTTACATTACTATCATTTCTATGCAGTGCAAAGTAGGATCAGCTCCCCAATCGACTTTCATTTATAGGAACGAACATGTCTTCCTTCTACTGCCATGGTAGCCAAATCTTTGCTACCCACAGTTGCAGATGACAATGTAATTGTAGGCAATATCAAAATATTGATTTCCCGTATATTAATTGAGACTATCATTCTTCAGTACTCTTTTCTCTGACTTAATTGTTACTTCTATACGACACGATTATCATTCAAACATGTCTTCTAAATCAATTATTGTTAGTTAAAACATCATTATAATAATTCTTTTAATATTATTGTAGGTACCTCTTGGTGTCATTCCAAAGAATGAAAATAAGACAAAGGAGATGATACAGATTTTGAGTCATGTGCATCAATATGTCCCACAGGTGGAGTACGATATGCAACAGTATGTACCAGAGCTAAATGATTCAGTATCAGTACGAAAAGCCAAAACACACAGTCATGTTAGGAGGAGACCAATTGTCTGTAGTGCGTACACGAACAGCACTTAGTGTCAAAAGAACTGCAGATACTCCATCTAAGCATTTAGATGGGATTATATCAATAATCGAAGATAGGCATACAAAATTAACCTTATTTGAAGTGAGATATTATTTTACTAATATAATGATAATTTCATTTTATTTTATGTAAAGGTTATTTGGAAGTACTATGTATCATCAGATTCATCCTCTGAACATGGAACTATTTACTAGCTAAGAAATTTGCTAGGGTAGTCAAATGTTGTCAACAAGCCAAAGAAAAATTTGAATGCCTGTGAAGATTTTTTTGCTCAAGTCTTCCGCAGTTTTGTCACAGGAGCTGCTATGGAAGTACTAGGAATAACATCAGTAGATGAATGGCCTTCTCACTTACCTGAAGATGGTTGGTTATGTTCCAGTGAAGAGCGTCAGAAACAAATGGACGTAATGCTATCAACAATAATTGAGAAATTTATAAATGTTTCATATAATACTAAGCATCCTGCTAACAAGGACAAAGTATTCTTGTACTGTGAACAAGTGTTAAGTATTGGCTCCTTGCAGAATTCACTGATGCCATTTGTGAGGGAGATGGTAAGAGAGTTATTCGGTGTTGGAGGTACCTTATGGTGATTTTCCATAATTCATGTCGAAAGAATTATGCTAAAGAAGCAGTATTGTTACTGCATCGGTATCAATATGTGCTATCACCTGAACAGATAACAGATTTGCTGTATGGCCGCTTTATTAACACAAGAGGAATTCCAGGCTCTAATATTATCGCAGATCTATACATGGAACACCTCAATCGGGAGTTAAAGGGATGTATTAGCAACTTGGGTTCTAATAAAACAGAAGAAAGTATAGTTCGCTTAGGTAAAGTAATAGGAATGATAGCTCCAATCATGCATCAGTTTGATAAAGTCAATGATGTGATGCATCATAGTTCTATACATAAAGCAGCTAAAATGAGAAAAGATATGGTACAAGTTATTGCTGAATTGAAGAGAGCTAAAATGTTTACTGAAATTGATGGACGAAAGTTTAACAGTTTTCCTAACCCACAATCACTTTTGCAGAAGAAGCCAGAAAAGGAATTATTAGAATGGATGCAAAAACACATAAAATAATTAATTTTATTGTAATATTCACTTTTTTCTTAATGCACATACATCACAACAAATATTAGTTAAATGTTTCCTATGAATATTACGATCATATCCCTCCATCTTTTTGAATAATAAATGCCTACGACAGTCAGTAGTAAATTCATAAAAATCTTTCATATCAGCATCAACAAAAGAACTTCTCTTTGTTAGCCATGTGGCCTTTGATGGAAGACCATCCCTTCCAGCACAACCAGTTTCCTGGATGTATGATTCAACATCGTGAGGAGGACCAAGATGAATTACTGCACGGACATCTGGTGAATCAATACTCATCCCAAATGCCACAGTTGCAAAAACTATTTGTAAAATACTTGGCTTTGTAAAGGAAGAGATTATATGGTTTTTAACATCCACATCAGTACAACTAGTGAACATGTCTACCATTCTGAACCATGACAATGATGGTGCCCCAATTGGCTCTGTGAAATCCCTTCCTAAATTAGCCTCAAAAAACTGATATAAGTCACAACAGTCCTCTATTCGCTGACAATAAACAATGGTGCGAGGATAAGCTGTTCGCATTACCTGCAACTCTTTTAACATTGGTATGAAATTTTCTTCGATAGAGTAATATCGCAATACTTCATAGGGCAAGTTACCTTTACAAGGTGGCAACAAAACAGTGACAGGGTCTCTCATTCCTATGAGCTTGGATAATTCCAAACGAAGTGAATGTGTGGCAGTAGCTGTCAATGCCATAACTTTTATATTTTCAGGCATCAAACTACGTAGCTCTTCAACTCTGAGTAATATAGGCTGAAATGTTGAACCCCTATAAGCATAAATATGATACATTATATATACACCAATAACTATTCCAAAACATACCACTGCTTTAATGTATGTGCCTCATCAATAACTAAACCTTTAATTCTCTTCCTATAAGTAATAGACATTAGTAATTGTCTCCATCGTTTGCCAATAAGAAGTGCTTCAGGAGTAAAATAAACTAGCTAGCACTTTCCATCAACAACAGACTGTTTCATTGCATGATCATCTTCATCATCTCCACATATACAACCGGAAACTAAACCTTTCACAGTAGAAGCACAAACCTGTGTTACACAACAATAATAACTAGCAGCTAAAATGATATTACCTGATCCTTTATAAGAGCAGTTAATGGGGTTACAATGACTATAATAGAGAGATCCTCCTGCCTAAAATTATCCTGAAGCATGTCAAAGACTATGGGAAGGCATAAGTAGCAGAGAGATTTGCCAAACCCAGTTGGCAACATGGCAAACACATCATTCCCTTCAACAAACTTAGATATAACTTGCATCTGCTCTGCTTTCAAACGATCATAACCAATTTCTATGGCAGCTACCTCAATCACTTCCTCCATTTTATTGTTAATAAAACTAGATAGTTATTAAATAAAATCTATTATTAAACATTAATATTACGTATAAAACACAACTTCCGGTACTGCAAAAATTCTGCAGCAGAACAAATCCCGTATATGTAGTGGTCCTGACCCTCCACTCTTGCGAGGGTCAGGCCCCGCCTGACTAAGCCAGATGTGGTTCTATGTAACTTTAACCAGCATCCACTACAAGTTGGAGCTGTTGCCCCTTTAGAGATAGAGTAGAGGCACAAGAAAACTGTCTATATTAATGCTGGACAAGGACAATCAATTGAACCATTTCTAAGTAATAGTAATATTTTAATTTTTTATAGGTTTATTGACCGCTGATGTGGAAGTACAAGAAAGGACAGAGGATGGTCTGCTGCACAGAGGAAATGGCCATTGAAGTTATTGAAGATGGAGTGAATACCAATCTGGAGTGGTGCAGTGTTACGTGTATCCATGGGAGACAGAGGTGACAGGGACAAGGCACTTCATAGCATTTCACCAGAGCAAGGTTTTCATTGAAGAAGTAGTGATTAATGTATGTGAAGGACAAGCATTTATACCAGTGTTAAATTATTCAAGAGATCCTGTCAAGATTAGTTCATCAAGTGACATGGGAACCGTAGCAACCATTAATGAAGATGAAGCAGGTCTAGCTGCTACTGATTGAGTTAAAGGACTACTCAGGGAAGAGTTACGCTGATACTTCATACAGTAAATGGAGAAACTAGTACTCTGAAGAGGAAGGAAGCCCTATTGAATCTGCTGGAAAAGGGTGGAGCCATTCCAGAGAAGGCAATCTTGGAAATAGTGTTATTGTATAATCGAGTATTCTCATTGAAGACAGAGAAAGAGGCAGTGGTAGAGCATACCATTGATGTGGGTGATTCTCTACATATTTGTCAGGTACCACATCGAGTACCTTGTATTATGTCACAGGATTTCTGAGATGGTGCAACACATGATAAAGGAATGCATTGTAGAGGAATCTTCCAGTCTTTGGGCTAGTGCAGTTGTTACTGTAGAAAGGAAGACATGATTTTGTGTTGATTGTAGCTGTCTCAATGCAGTAACAAGTAAAGATGTTTCCTTGATGTTGTAGTTATGATTTCTTGAATCAACTGGCTGGGTTACTACATTAGAGAGGCTGCTGGCAGATAAAGGTTGATGAGAAATCAAAAGATAAGACAGCCTTCATAACACACAAGGGACTACATCAATTTCAAGTGATGACTTTTAGATTCAGTAATGCTCTTGCAATGTTTCAGCAGGTGATGCAGAGGATTCTTAATGGGATGGATAACTTCTGTAATGTGTACATTGATGATATTTTAGGAATGTAATAAAACAATCAGAAGCACTTGGAGCTACTTTTCGAGTGACTAATGAAGTTGATACTGAGACTAAACCCGAAAAAGTGTCTGTCAACTCATGCTAAAGTGGAGTATTTGAGTCATCTCGTATAGTCGGAGGGAGTCACACCCAATGTAGAGAAACTTTATGCAGTTGAGTTATTTCCAGTCCCTACTATTGTAAGAGTTGTGAGAGTTCTTGGGATTGTGTAGCTATTACAGGAAGTTTGTGTCAGGATTGTCTAGCATAGCCACGCCCTTGCACCAGCTGTTAAAGGCAGACTTCAAATTTGTCTGGACTAAAGTTTGCTAACATGCTTTTTAGAGGTTGAATGAGCTTCTGACACACCCACCACTTCTGGCCTACCCTAATTTTGTTAGAGCCTTTGAGGTACACACTGACGCAAGTCGTGATGGGCTAGGAGCTGTGGTGGAATAAGAACAGGAGAATGGGATGTTGCACCCACTGGCGTATGCAAGCCCGACACTGAGCAAACACAACAGGAAGTATGGAATAACAGAAGTAGAAGCACTAGCTATAGTCTCAGCTATGATGCATTTTAAAGTGTGCCTGTGGATCATCAGTGTACTGTCTTTACTGACCACGCCCCTGTACAATCCTTATTACATAATAGTAGAGCGCTAGCTCGCTGGCAGACGTGATTGCTCAGTTTGATCTTGAAAAAAGCCTGGTTGTCAGAATGTAAACTGCTCATGCAGTTTCAAGATCACTCCCACTGACTGATAAGGACACTGATGAGGCTCTAGTCAGTAGCACATTAACTGGTCAAGAGGAAAAACAGTTTATCTGAATGCAAAAAGCTGATCCAGTACAATGACCGATAATCAAGTCCCTCAAAGCAGAAAACCTCCAGCATAAGTCTGTGCCCAATGTTTAGCTGTTTTTCTGTAAAATTCGGCTAACTGTGATCATAGGCGTATCTAGCCTTCTCCAGCTACTAGGGCACTTAATTAATTATTCATATAATTAATTAATTATTCATATATCTAATTAATTAATTATACCTTTAACTATTGATTGGGGCAATTTGGGTAAATGCATTTTAAATTTAAGACCTATAACTGCCCTGGTGCTTGAATGAACACTTGTAACATGTAGGTGTGTGCTAAATTATTGTGGTTAACAGTGCTAACTATTGTGGTTAACAGTACTGCCACTGTTACAATACTGTGTATAATACAATAACTAATGAATATAATTATGGCTGCACATTTCTACCCGGGCAAAGCCCGTGCTTGCCCGGGTCCAAATACGCCTATGACTGTGATCCCCATTTGGTACTAGTTGATGGGATATTATATTTTAGTGCTGGGAAAGGAATGGGCCAATTATGAATCTGTGTGCCATTGACAAAGAAGCAGGAATTGTTGAGAGTTTATCACTCAGGACCAATTACTGGCCATTTCTCTCACAAAGCATTATACCGGGTTCTGGAAGTGTATGTTTTGTGATGCCCAAACGCACTGTAGGATTGGTTTGACTTGTGCCACACATACAGCAGCTGGCAAACGGTGAAAGCCACCACTGATGCCCATTCCAGTTGGTGGACCTTTCGCAGGTGTTGCTATTATGGAGTAACCATGAACTGTCCATGGCACCAAGAATGTTGTAGTCTTTATGGATTATTTAACTTAATCGGCGGAGGCATTCGCAGTGTCTGATCACACTAGTAAGACTATCACAACTTTATTAATTAATGCCATGAAGTGCCTGACATATCACATTGCAATACTAATTTATTGCCAAGTCTCATGAAAGATGACAGTGAGCTGACAGGGATTGAGAGGGTTAATACCACTGCCAGTCACCCCTACACCGACGGCCTCGTTAGAAAATTTTAACAGAACTCTTACAGCCATAATAGCTAAATATATTTCTAACCACGGCTCAAGCTGGTATAAGTGCCTTTCTAATCGGCTATATGCATACAGAATGAAGAGTTATAAGACAACTGGTGAGTTACCGTTACATTTATTATACGGTAGAGATGCCTGGATCTCCATTGAAGAGACATTGTCATTTGAAAGGAGTCATTATACAGTTGATGTTCAGGACTACAAATTAGGCTTTGCCTCCCCTTTAGCTTCTGCTTGGAGAATTGCAGGACAACACATAGTAAAGGGTCAGAGCAAGCAGAAACAGCAGTATGACAGGAAAACCTCAATAAGGACAGTGCAACACGGAGACCGCATAATGGTGTACATGCCTCTGGAGACTACTGGGATACAAAGAAACTAGCTCGCCCAAATTTTGACCCATACAGGGTTATTGAAGTCCATTTTAATGGCGTCTCCGTCAAACCAGTCGATAGACTGAAAGAAACACCTGTGTGTCAACATGGATTGTGTCTTCCTTTGTCCTACAAAACTCCCAGACTGAAGCTGGCTTGGAAAATGTAAGTGACATACTTGTACTTGCACTGTGTTTTGTTCATTAGTATATGCACTGATATTGCAATTTGATATTTGGTTTGTATTATTGGTTTTATTTTGGAGTTTTGGTTTATGTGTTGTCATTTTTTTTGCTATCCCATTTGTTGTATTAATTGTTGTAAGCTGATGACAGCTATTCTCTGAGAGACAGGAATTGTGAAAACACTTACCATTCCTGTATAATAATTGTTTTGATTTTTGTTGATTACTAATGAGAAAATGGCTGTAAACATGGTGCTATAAGGGCTCTTACTTTTGTTTTTCACTTTACAATACTTTTCTTGCCACACAGGGTTGTTACCAATACTGTGCATAAACAATTTTGCTCATAGAATTATTTATGGTAATCATGTCACTCCTAATAATAATAAAACACACCTTGTGGGTGTTGTTTTGATTAAAAGGTACCTAGAGAAAGCCTCAGCTTGCCTTAGCCTGCAGCTGCTAATGCCTTTAACTGAGTATATTGAAACTAGGAACAGTTACTGTTTGTAATCATAATCTTTGTCTTCGTTTTAAGTGTTTAAAAATGTTGTGTTGCTCAAACATTTTGTACTACAAGATTCTATATGCTACAAGAAGCATTTATCACTTCATTTCTACTGCAAGTAATCATTCATGTAGTGCAAGATGTGTTTTTGCAAATGTTGTAGGTATGTTTAGCTAGACTTTATCCCTGGCAGAAGTGAATGTGTTTTCATTGAATACCATGAGGGTGTTCACTACAATAACCTAATGCAACTTCTTCAAAATGTAATTCCAAAGTCTTTAATTGCAACATGGATAAATCTCTTCTTAAGTGTTTACTAGGTCTCTGTCTAAGTGACAGGGAGGACAAATGCTTACGTTTTGCAGTCTTCAAAGCTTCTGCCTTAAGTTCTACAGAAACTCGTGCACAGATTAGACTTAAAAAAATAAATTTGGTAGCCAAAATTTGAGAAACTCCCTTATTTATGCAATGTAGATAAGGTCTGCAAGAGCGATGTTACTCATGTTAGCTATAACTACTGACAAAGCAATACTACTAAGTCTTGGGTTGAGTTGTGGTGATAAAGAACTAAGCTGAGAAAGAAGCGAAGAAGGCAGTGATGTACCTTCTCAATTCAACAGTTTCTCTCTTACTAACTACTCAGCCTCTTTGTTTTGTACTGATTTTTGCTCAATGATATGAAAGTAATGAATGTG